AATGGGTGTCAAACATAGTGAAAATGTGTGTCAAACATAGTGATAGTTTTAATAACGGTAATTTTAAGTAAATGGGTATTAAACACCAACTAAGCTTGCACTTTCTAATGCCCTGTTTGAGCCAAATTATTATAGAATGAGAATGAACAATATAGTCGTTATTGGGGTCCTCACAAGAGATAGAAAATTTGAATTTAAATATTGATGTGATGAATAACGATCATATTTTTTATTTTAATGAGATAATAATTTAGATCAAACGGGGGCTAAATTACCAAAATAAGCTACATTAAAAGATCTACTAGTCAAGTCAATATAAATCGTTTGCAAGCTAGAGTTTCCAACCAACTCTTTAAAATGTGCAATCATGCTACATGTACAATCTTTATTGACAACATTAGTGACACACATTTTGCACTATCACATTCATCTATTTTAAAAAATTATTAAAAACTATTTTTTTTTAATATTAATGGTCCGAATTTTGACAATACATGTTGTCAATCAAGGTTGTCATCAATTATTGTACAACTAACTTTATTGTTCATTTTAAGGGCTGATATTCCTTTATGTCATGTTTGGTACACATTATTTTTTTCATTCTTATTTTTCTACTCATTTTTAACTACACATTCTTCAATAAAATAATATTTTTCATCACTTCAATAATTTTTTTTTCTTTTTCAACCACATATTTCCTATCACATTAACAGTAAAAATGCATTTTTACTTTCAAAATGTACGCCAAACGGGACTTAATTTTTAATTTATTTTTATTAGTTGGTATCTTTTCTATGAAGCGAGTTTTCTTGACTTTTTCGTACTTTTCCTCTCTCTCTTTCTTTTTATGTTGAAGTTTATTTTTCTTGGATTTTCAATAACAAATTATACTTTTCCTCTCTTTTTTCATTTTTATCAGCATCTCATCGGATTTACAATATGGAAGAAAAACTCATTTTTAACTTACTTTTGAGGTTCAATTTTATTATAATTTACCCTGAGATAAGGTGGTAACTTCATCTTAGATTGTACTTTACTATATTGCCGTATTTAGAGCTTGTTGAGCTCCATTTTTTTTTTGATAAAAATCCGTTTTGGAATAGTCATTTGATAGACAATATTTGGATAAAAATGAAAAAATGTTTTGAATTTGTGTGTAATATTATTTGATTGAAAAATGTGTAATTAAAAATAAGAGAGAAAAAAGTGTATTTTGAAAATAGTGGGAATAAAATGAGAGCTTATTATTATTTATTTATTGTGAAATATATATTTTTGGAGAGATGAATAAATAAGGGAAATTTGGCCATTTAGCCTAGTTGGACAATGTAGTTGGTGAAATGGCCTTTGACCAATAATAAAAATAAAAAAATAAAGCAAAATATTTTAGTTGATAAAATGACAAAATTCTCCTTCAATTATCCACTCAAAAACCCTCAATTTTCCTCATTTCGTCCCGTCATTTCTCCTCCATCTTCTTCCCCTTTTTATCTTCTTAAATTTTCGGTCATCGTTCTTGCTACCCAAAAATCATGTTACATCTTCTTCTCCTTCGTCAAAAACATTATCTCTCCCCTGTAAGTGCAATTCTCATTTCTTTCTCTCAATCAATTTACTTCTCCTTTTGTGTTTCTAGATTTTTAGTCTCCAAATTGGCAACATGGAAATAAAATGGATGGCTAATCGTGTGATGCCGGCAGTACGAGAACTTGACCCCTTACCCAACGACTTTATATTCTTGCTCCGACGCATAAACTATGTATGAAAAAACTCTTCATAAGAAATTAATTATTGCCGGAAGAATTAAAAATTTTGAGTTTCTGAAATTTATGGGTTTCCCATTCTTGAGGTAATTTGAAGAATTTGGTTGGATGAGTCTAGATTCCTCTTGATTCTGTCACTAAAATTGATTTTGAAGAGCCGCGACTCGTCCGAACCACGATAATCGACAAATTGAACTCATTTAAGTTACAGGCTCAACACGTCGCTTACAAAATTCTTGAGATATGCCCATTACATTTACTTTCAAACGAATCTAGACTATGACTTATGTTTTCACCATTTCATACCTTATATTCTATATCAGTTCCACCGTTAGTTGTCACACAATCAACATTTTCGTCCTTCTTAGGTTGGAGGGTCCAATCCTTAATATCCTTGCCTTGAAAAGTAACAAAATATTGAAAAAATAACAGAACGACACAAGTGTCGTTTCACGACACATGTGTCGTTCTGCCACTAAAATCGATTTTGAAAAATCGTGACCCGTCCGAAGCACGATAATCAATAAACTGAACCCATTTAAGCTGCAGGCTCAACACGTCGCTTACAAAATTCTTGAAATATGCCCATTAATTATACTTTCAAACGAATCTAGACTAAGACTTGTGTTTCACAATTTCATATCTTATATTCTATATCAATTCCACTGTTAGTTGTCACACAATCAACATTTTCGTCCTTCTTATGTTGGGGGTCCAATCCTTGATGTCCTTACCTTGAAAAGTAGCAAAATATTGAAAAATCAACAGAACGACACATGTGTCGTTTAACGACACTTGTGTCATTCTGCCACTAAAATCAATTTTGAAGAGCCGTGACAACGACACTTGTGTCATTCTGCCACTAAAATCAATTTTGAAGAGCCGTGACTCATCCGAACTATGATAATCGATAAACCGAACTCATTTAAATTGTAGGCTCAACACACTGCTTACAAAATTCTGTATTTACGTTCATAAATTAATCAAGAGGAAAAAAAGGCACAACTGTCGTTTCGGTTTTGAAAACTGCTCAAGTGTTGTTCTGCCTCTAAACACGATTATGAAGAGCCGCGACCTATCCGAACCACGATAATGATAAGCTGAACTCATTTAAATTGCAGTCTGAACACGTCGCTTACAACATTTGGGATTTATACTCATTACTTAATCAAGAGAAAAAAGAAAATGACACAACTGTCGTTATCGTTTTGAAAACGGCACAAGTGTCGTTCTATCTGTAACACGATTATGAAGAGCAGTGACCCGCCCGAGCCACGTTAATGATAAGCTAAACTCATTTAATTTGCAGGATGAACACACCGGTTACAACATTCGGGAGTTATGCTCATTACGTAATCAACAGAAAAAAAGAAAACGACACAACTGTCGTTAAACAATATAATTGTCATTATGGCTTCATCGAGCCTAAGACAATTACATAATCCATCTTTCCAATTATTATATATAGGCCCTATTTGTTTCTGATTCTCAAAAAAATAATTTTTTCTTTTTTTTACCTTTTTGGCAATGAAAACAAATTTTATAACCAATTGTGGAAAAAATTATCACTTTAATGGACAATTTCCATGTAAAACAAAGCTAAACGAACACAAAATTTAAAAATTTTTCGGGTGGAAAATTATACCAATCAAACACACTTGAAATCATTTTCCCTACAAAACATTTTCTAAACAAATTTTTTCCCTGTAAAATATTTTTTTTTCCACTCATTTTCCACCCTTGCAATCAAACGCACCTTACTAGTCAAGTCAATATAAATCGTTTGCAAGCTAGAGTTTCCAACCAACTCTTTAAAATGTGAGGAAAATTCAACAAATTGTTTTGTCAATATTTGTGGGGAGAAAATATTTTAGAAGAGTTTTTGAAGATTTATTTTACAATCATGCTACATATATAATCTTTGTTAACAACATTAGTGACACACATTTATCTATTTTAAAAATTATTAAAAACAATTTTTTTATATTAATGGTCCGAATTTTGACTACACATGTTGGTATCTTTATTGTACAACTAATTTTATTGTTCATTTTAAAGGCAGACATTCCTTTAATTTTTAATTTATTTTTATTAGTTGGTATCTTTTCTACTAAGATAGTTTTCTTTATTTTTTCGTACTTCTCTCTCTCTCTCTCTCTCTCTCTATGTTTTGCGCATGTTGAAGTTTATTTTCTTGGATTTTCAATAACAAATTATGGAAGAAAAACTCTTTTTTAACTTACTTTTGAGGTTCAATTTTATTATAATTTACCCTGAGAGAAGGTGGTAACTTCATCTTAGATTGTACTTTACTATATTGTCGTATTTAGAGCTTGTTGAGCTCCATTTTTTTTTTTTTTTGTTGATAAAAATCCGTTTTGGAATAGTGATTTGATAAATAATATTTGGATAAAAATGAAAAAATGTTTTGAATTTGTGTGTAATATTATTTTATTGAAAAATGTATAATTAAAAATAAGAGAGAAGGGTGTATTTTAAAAATAATGGGAATAAAATGAGGGCTTATTATTATTTATTTATTGTGAAATATATATTTTTGGAGAGATGAATAAATAAAGGGCTAAAATAATTCTTATTTTTTCTAGCGCCTATTTATTTACTGCTTGCTCCCTTACCAACAAAAAGACACAAGAACTAGACCCTTCTTTTAGTTTTTCTTTTTCTTGGATGACTTTTGAATGCTAAAATATAGGGTGAAAAATTGACCTCAGTCTTTCTCCAGATGGTAATTTTTGCTCATTTCGTAACATGGGTTTCCCTGAACTTCCGTTAATTTTCAGGAAAATTGGCTGAGATTTATGTGAGGAGTTTCAGATTTTGTATACACATATGGTATATTATTCATGGAGATAACGGAAGATGGTTATTCGCGGGATGATTCTCACCCGACGGCACCGTTTAATGATGGCGGTGAAGACTCCTTTTTGAGCTCTAACTTTTTATTAGATACTGTTGGAGAGATATTTCTCACCCAGAATTCAGATGGGCTGTCTTGGCAATTGGTTGAATCTTTGAATGATGTAAGTTTTTTTTTTTTTTTTTTGTAAATAAAATTTTCTTTTGCTTGTACCCTTTTTTATGTATGGATTTCTTGGCCTGCTGATTTATTTATTTATTTATTTATTTTTTAAATGGAGAGATTCATCCATACTTATTAACGTTTTATTATATATTCTTTATTATGTCGGTGACAATCAGCTAAATGGATAATTGCTGATTGGTGATTTAGGGCCCAACTTCTGAAATTCGCCTCAGGCCGGAAACACGGGTACGGCCCTGTTTACGAGTATTCGTGCTTCTTAGGTTGAGCTCCTTGATCAAAAATTTTAAATTGTTAGAAAGGACTACATGTGAAAAAACTCTTAAACAGGCAGGAATTACGCCATCTATATGAATTTGGTCCAATATTAGGAAGATAGGGACCTGAATTTGGTCCAATATTAGGAAGATGGTGATTGTGGTAGGTGATACTTTTTTCAATTCTGAAGCCTAGCGTCTCCTGATGACACTCTCACCTTTGTTCCTGTTTGATGGCCTTTAGTTCAAAGTTCTTTTCTCTACATAGTCATTTTCAACCAAACAATCAAATATTTTGCACGTAAACCCAAAACTTTTTTCTACTTTTTAACCACACATTCTCTTAAAATTCACTACTCAAAACACAATTTTTTTTCCAAATAATGGCCATCATACAAGAGCTTAATTCATTCTTTTGTCCAAGAAAGTTCTTTCGTGCCTTCTCAAGTGGCTGGGGGGGAGGGGGTGTCAGATGTGCCTCCAGTCAGTGGTTAAAAGGCGGCATAGGGAGAATTCGCTTTCAAGTGACTATTCCCTAATACATACGTCTCGTTATTTCATAATAGATCATTTAAACCTTAACTTCAACACGCTATCTCATATGTAGGTGTGATATTCATTTTTTCAATTAAAGCCTTGCATGTGTACAATTTTTAATAAATTGGTGGTGGTGAGACTTGAGTAAAGGACTTTTGTATGCTCTAAGGCTATGTTGAACTATTTGATTTCAAAGTTGAAGTTCTTAGAAAGGGCCACGTGCATATCATTTAAATCTTATCTTCATACAAAGTAAGGTAAGATTTATTTTCAAAATAAGTATCTTCTTTAGTTAAAATAAGAAAAATATATCCAAATATGTTTGGAACAGAAAGTTATTTAAAAGAAACTTTTACATGTTTCTAAGCTCAGACAAAATCACAAAACCATTAAAATTTCTAATTCACTTCCTGACACTCACCCCATTAGTCATCGAAAAGCTTTCGAACTCTAGTCCCTTAACTCACAATTATACTTATCAGCAATCACCCTCCTCCATAAAGCACTCTGTTCATACACAAACCTCCAAAGTCACTTCTATCTTAAAGATTTGTCGACAGAAACTAAATCACAACCTAGATTAACCCTTGTTTCACTGGGCAATCAATTGAGCATATTTTCTTATCTTCTTTGCGATCCTGAAAGAATTTTCACTAGTTTCTCCAACCTCTTAGCAATATAAACTGGAATAGAGGACAGAAAATATGTGGGAAGATTGATCAAGAGCAGTAGATACTTCCCTCACTTGGACAGATAAATTTTGTTCCAACTGCCAACATATACTCAAAATTTTCCAGATATGATTCCATACATCCGGAGTTAAATTCTGACTCCAAAGGCATCTCCTAATAAGCATGTGGTTCTCTCCCCAACTTGCACCTCCATTATCTCACAAGTTCAATCAGATTTACCTCACCTTTTACAATCGATTACCTCCTTTAGGCCTCTTGAACCTTTAAAAAGAAACTGTATGTACACTGTTCGAGGCACAGAATTTTTTTCTGGGGATATGAATAAAATCCACTGTCTTCAATTTTTAGAAAATTTCATGCAGATCACACGTGTCAAACAGTGAAAGCATATGTTTCCATACACCTTATTGATATCCAGCTTGCAAAGAACACAATTAACCAACACTTCAGTCTGGAATCCACAAGATAATTGGCATTCAGAATTGCTTCCAAGATTTGCATTGCAAAGAACACCATTAACCCACATTTCAGTCTAGAATCCACAAGTTCATTGGCATTCAGAATAGCTTCCAAGATTTGCCAGTCACCTTTGAAAGCATTGCGTGAATCAGAAATTAAATTTCTAATTAATTTCTTCAATCGACATGAGACCACCATTTCTTATACACTGTTGACTTGAATCTTTTATGTCCTCTTAAGATATTCTTTCCGTTAAGCAGCAGTCAAAGAGAGAAATTAAAGTGTTGTATTGAAAGAACCTTATTATGGAATTCTCTCACAACTTTCATAATATATGCCATTTGTATAAACATCGTTGAAAGAAGACCTTGGTGAAATGCTAGTCACTCACTATCAATCCACTTCAAATAGTAAAGTTATCTGCTTCCACCCCTGGCCTCCAAGCCACCCCTGACCTTGGAAATATAAGTGATGACAGAGGCTATAAGTTGTATAGGCTAAATGTAATATCTATCATAAAATTTCATCTCAAACGAAACTCTTGCATGTTTATCTTTTTTCTTCTATTATTTAAAAATTTTTATTGAATCCTATAGGAGACTCCTTTGTAGACTATAGTTACGAGCACTGGCAAATATAATTTATGATATCTGTTTCTTATTCTATTTCAGTTTACTTATTTCCCGCCTAAAAAGTTTGACTATGGGATTACATATATTGCATACTGGATCATTCACAAATATTTCAGACCTCTGTTAATTGAGATTAACAGATGGCATTTTCATTTATTTACATCAGGAAAAAGATGAGAGATGGACCGAAATTAAGTTTTCTGATGTTTATGCTGTTGAGTTCCTTGGATGGGGTTTGGTGCATGGGCCAGTTCTCGGGGCCAGAGAATGTATTTTGGGTCATTCAGCTCAGGTTATACTCGTTCTCTGATTACTTCCACTTACATTTCCACCTTTATAACATAAAAAGAATTCTTTGGACAGTAATTTTTTTTTTTCTTTTTCCTGCTGCTGCAGATGTATCGGTTTACAGTGCATGCTGTCCAGAGTTCAAAGAACCTTCCCTCTCTTTGGACCCCATCTGTATACACTTTTGGTCATAATAACTTGGAGATCTGTAAGACTTGGGTTAATCAAATAAGTGCTTCTCTGGATATGGAATCTAACCGACCTAAGAATCTTCTGGTATGTTTCAATTGATAATACTAGCTGATGAAATGTCAGTATTTCAAATGCTTTGTTGTAACATGAAAAGGAAATAAACTAGCGGAAAAATTTTTTCCCGACTTTATTTGTGATTGACTAGGTTTTAGTTCACCCAAGGAGTGGGAAAGGAAATGGACTTGGAATTTGGGAAGAATTAGCTCCAATATTTTACCGGGCCAAAGTGAAAACAAAGGTAAGTTTGTTATCGCATCACAAACATGCTTTAAAGTGACCTTGCACCAAAGCATCTAATCTGGTATTTATATTGGGTTTAGTGGGAGACTTTGGCTGTCCGATGGAATCCCAATTACCTTTGCCTGCATGCTAGCATTTTAAAAGCGTTATAATAATACTAGGGATAAAGCATGTACATGGCACATGGATTCCCTTTGATTTGCTTATTATACGCATCAAATATGAACATCCTTATACTGATAATGTAAAGCTACGTGTAACTAGATAACTTTGTTATTGGAATAGCAGTAGACTGAATTCTGTTGCCTGGAATCATAATAGATAGAAGGTAGTCCTTTTGGTCCTATTACTTTAATGAAAGAAGTTTGTAATGATCACTCAAGACATTGATTGCCTAGTTCTAGAAGTTAAGAGTAAATGGAATAGTAGTCACAAAATAAATACAGATGAACCCAACGCCACTCTCATATGTGAATATGACTTGATTAGGTGTTCTGTATCACGCGATTAATCATTTTGTCAATGCCTCATATTGTAAGCTTGTCTCATTCTCAAAGTGAATTGGATGATGTTCCATTTCATACAAACAACAGTGATTACTCTTTTATACTTGTCTGCTTTTCATCAGGTGATTGTGACACAGAGGGCAGGACATGCACGTGATGTAATGACCTCCATTACAAACAGGGAGCTTAGTTTCTATGATGGTGTTGTAGCTGTTGTAAGTAGTTGAACGTCTCTTGCTATACTTTTCGTTTTCATGGTTATGTACATCTGCTTGAGAAGAAACTGATAGTATGCAAGCAATCATGTTATCTTGGTTAAAATGTGTAATCATTGTATATAGTAAAGTATAATTCATACAACGCATATTTTTCTTTGATTGACCCACATTAGTTTGTTGTTAAGGAACACCGCTTATTAACCCATTTCTTGTTTTATAAGGAATGAACGACAGTTTCAATGTGAACTTCCAAATTTGAAGTTTATACTCGATGTCATCTATAGTCTATCTAACAGCCTCAAAAGTTGCTTGATGATCAGGGTATCTGACTCTGTAGCTGACCTGTTGCACTTTCTTGAACATAGCTTTAAAGAACCTTGGTTGAAGACAATGCCCATAAGGAAATACATCTTTTACATCATACTTCAACATAAACAAATTACCATGAATTATCTCTAAATCTGATACTTATATTATTATTTTTTACTGTTGATGAAGTTCTCAACACGAGTTAAGACAAATAATTCTCTAGTTAAGAACTCATTAGGCACAATATTTCTGGATTACACCTTTATCATGACTTCAGACATGTTTAAAATTCCACCGATCATCATTTCTTCCTTTTTCTTTTTTCTACCTTTTGATATCCTTCTGACTCGTTGGTGTGATTGTGATTGAATCTTAATGGAACTTACATAAAACTTACACCACAAGTATTTCTTGTTTATGTACCTTTATCTTTTGTCTAAATGAATGGGATTTGTGTATAATTTTCATTGCTTTCCAGCTCTTGTCATTTATATGGGTTATGTTTCATTTTCGTTCTTGTTTGATTTTCTCAGTGATTAATTTGACCATTTCTTCTTATTTCTGCATTTATGTGTAATTAGTTATCCGAGACTGGTGATGGTTCTCATGATTTTGTTCTGAGATCTTCTAACTCACTATCCATATATCTGGCAGACGGTATTGGTCCGCCCGGGGTGGGGGTCTTCAGGCTAATATTTAATTGGGTTTTTGCAACATGATTTCTCTATTACAATGTTCACACTGATTAGTTCTTTTAAATTTATGTTAATTGGGTTACTTCTCTTTCATTTTTTAATTTTTTTTATTCTGATATGTTTCTAGGGTGGAGATGGATTCTTCAATGAAATTCTTAATGGTCTTCTCTTGTCAAGGCATAAAGCTTCATATCCACCAGATCCTGGGGATTCCATCCATCCTGTTGAAATGGAGTTGAATTCTACAATTCATAATCCTGAGTTTTCTTTTCCAAACAAGCAGTTTAGAATTGGGATCATTCCAGCTGGATCTACTGACACAATTGCGATTTGGTATTTTTAGCATTTTCTTCCTTTTTGTTACTTTTTCCTTGGATGCATGAACCCTGCCTTGTTTTATACTGTCTTCCTTGAGGAATATGTGGTTTTCTTGAATGCATTTCCACCAAACTCATATGTGAGTTTCTCGTTAGCATTTTTCTTCACTCTGTTCTAATTTGACTCTCTATTGGATGTGTACGTGGCTTGAGAATATAGCATTAGATTAAACTTTTAATCAAATTATTTGGTATGCATCAAGTATGTTGTGCAAAGATGTTGAGACATTTGCAACTTTTAGTAGAGGCTTTCAGTTTTCGATTAGTGACCTGATCCATACAATCTGAGTAAAGAAATATATAAGGAGATTATTATCCTTGCATCAAGTTTCCTGATTGACTTGCATTGGTGTGGCTTTGTGAAGGAAGCCCATAGGGTCTCGGCTTTGGAATTTGCAGCTTGCTTCCTTCGTGGATATCTGGGATGTGGGAGTGAAGATGATAACATTTGCTACCATAAGTGAAACCATATTAATTGGAATCTAAAATCTTGTTATTTTGTGTTGAATAGATAATTTCAGGCATAAATATAAGTCAGGTTATCAAGCATAAGCTCAATGGCTCACTATGTTCATAATTAATGTACTGTAATTCATTACTGAGTAATACTTTGTTTTAATTGGCCAATAACATGTTAACAGAAACTTCCTTTTGTTGATTTATGTTTTTAGTATTACTCTAGCTGTATGTTATATTGGGCTTATAAATTCACTAAAATTTAACTTTTGCAGCACCACTGGAGCTCGAGACCCTTTAACATCAGCATTGCAGATTGTTCTTGGTAAAAGGGTGAACCTTGATGTTGCTCAAATTGTAAGATGGAAAATGACGCCTGCATCGATCAGCGAACCATGTGTACGCTATGCAGCTTCTTTTGCTGGGTATTCATACATCATTAGTGATCTCATAGTTTCATTTATTAATTGCACCTACAGCAGCATTTTTCTCTCAATGTTTTGCATGTGATATGAACAAAATATAATTTGTTTTGAACTTACCTTCTTGTATATACGAGTATTATGTGGAAGTCTTCAATGAGAATCCTTCATTGCACTTGTATTAATCTGTTAAGAAGTGCATCTTTTACATTTATCATTGATGATTGCTTCTGAATTCAAGTCTTTCTTATGTAAATGATCATGATTTTATTTGTTCTCTTTTTCTGTATCTTCGAAGATGGGCACTGAATGTTCATTGTTTGCTTTTACATCACCAATTTGACCATTTGAAAACATGAAGTTTTGACTTGCAAGCTTTTATACTGTTCTTGCTTTTGAAATATGATGGTGAAAAATGTGTACTGTTCTTGTTATACTGTTCTTGTTTTTGAAATATGATGCTTCTGATTTTCAAATTTTGTGTGTAAAAACACATCTTGCTATTGCCACATCTAGGCTCTGTTTGAGCCCCATTTTTTATTTTATTATTTATTTATTTATTTATTTTTGTGAAAAATGTGTACTGTTCTTGTTTCTGAAATATGATGCTTCTGATTTTCAAATTTTGTGTGTAAAAACACATCTTGCTATTGCCACATCTAGGCTCTGTTTGAGCCCCATTTTTTATTTTATTATTTATTTATTTTTGTGAAAAATGTGTTTTGTAATTTTTTTTCTTTTGAGAACGTGTGGTTAAAAAGTGGAGAAAAGTTTTGGGTTTACATGCAAAATTATTTTTATTGGGAGAACGTGCCTTTGAAAATGAGTTTAGGAAAAAATGTGTTTTTAGAGAATGGGGTTCAAACTGGGCTTAGTAGTCTGGGAAACCTAGTGAACCTAAGCGAGTGCAGTGTAGTCTGTTTATTCTTATTTCAACAAAATGCTCGGAGGAAAAATGAAGGTTTTTTTTTCTCATCATAAGAAGAAAACATTAAGATTAAATGTCATGCAATACAATCTTGTTCCTAAGGTAAATTTTTTTATCAGGATTGATGGACTTACCTGTTAAATGAAACCTTTTGCTTGATTAATGCCCAGTTTTGCATCTAAGCGAGGATAATTATGCGACAGAAGAATTTTGTTGCAAACTGCATTTCACCTTTACAGTTATTTTAATTGACTTTTCTTAAACATTATTAGGTACGGGTTCTATGGAGATGTTATTAGAGAAAGCGAGAAGTATCGGTGGATGGGTCCTAAACGATACGATTATGCTGGAACAAAGGTGTTCCTTCAGCTTAGGTATGCAATTTGTTGTCTATATGAGTTGATTGATAGAAAATAGTTGTTACAGTACTTCACCTCTTCCATAATTAAGTCCGTTTAGGCCAACTAATCCATTTGTAGAGTGTTTTTCTTAACAATGATGTTCTTTGACGTTCCTGCTTACTAAACCAACAATGGAAGATAGAGACATCTGGAGAATCCCTTTTGAGCACTCCCAATTAGGGGAAGCCAGTAGTAAATATTTAAAGTTTATCAGTTCTAAAATGTCAAATTGAAGATGCATTTTTCTTAAAACTTTTCCAAAAGTGGCATAATATACATCATTAGACAGGCGGAGTTTAAATAAATTGTTCTGTTAAATGAAACTATTAATTTATATTTTTTGTTTTTTCCACTTTTTGATAAATCCTGATAAAAGTACTTTATAGCATATCGCTTTTAAGTAAGTTGGATATTTTATATATGAAGATAACCTTTACAAACTGAAACTTTGTGCTAGGATATTAATTACATTGGTCTGCTATATGAAAAAACAATATTTTATTTGTTTTAGTAATTCTATAGGGAAGTATGTTATAGCAGATTGCCAATGAAATAGGCTAGTTATGTAAAAGAAGCATATTTTCCAGACTGTTTATTCTCATAAATAATGTGCCAAATGGCATCTTGTTAACCTTTTCCTTTGTGCTATTTATTTCAAGGTCGTATGAGGCAGAACTGAATTATCTGGAAGTTGAGTCAGAAAAAGAAAACTCAAGTCCAGAGGAAGAGCCCCCAGAAACCTCGACTAAGGCATTTCGTTGCCTCCCTGCAAACTCTGATGGGGTGAGTTGCCGTGCAAACTGCGGTGTATGTAACACAAAAGGTGTTGACGCATTGGTTGGGCCCTCCTTCCCCCTTCCAAACTCGAAAGCATCAAGATGGTTGACGTCCAAAGGACGTTTTATTAGTGTTGGTGCTGCTGTTATCTCTTGCCGGAATGAAAGAGCACCTGATGGCCTGGTTGCTGATGCTCACCTTTCTGACGGGTTTATGCATCTTATATTGATTAAAGACTGCCCCCACCCGCATTATCTATGGTAATGCCCGAGCATCTCTCTCTCTCTCTCTCTCT